TTTTTTTTTTTTTTTTTTTGAGATAGGATCTCACTCTGTTGCCCAGGGCCATAGCTCCTCAAAGAAAGATAACTGGTGCTATTAAGAACGACTCTGAGACAGCAGGAAAGGGATAACAGGATCATCAGAAAACACAGGAACATCATCCACTGCTAATGCTATGCTATCAGTGATTCCAAAAGAAGACTCATGGGCTACAGAGCGGAGGCACAGGTACAGCTTTTAAAAACCCATTTGGAAGACCAGGTACAGTGACTTGTGCCTATAATCCCAACTACTCGGGAGGCTGAGGCTGGAGGATTGCTTGAGGTCAAGAGTTCGAAACCAGCCTGGGCAACATAGCAAGACCCCCATCGCTTTAAAAAAAGTTAGTATAATTTTATATTTGTAAAACACTTATTGTTTTCATTATTCAGATTACAGTGAAAAATTGTAAATTCTTCTTGGCTGGTAAAGTCATACAAAAAAACTCTCTACCTCAAGTCAGTCTATCTTTTAAGTATCAGTGCTTCTTGCAAAGGGAAATGCCCACAGTCAGGACAATCAGGAACAAGGAAGAAGATGTATAATTTAAAAGGTGAAAAATTTCAAATGCTTTTAAATAACATTTTGTCCACAGCACTGTCTGATGTGATCCTCGATACACGTAAAAAAAAAATATTTAAAACAATTATGCTATAAACAGGGGAGGGTAAAGTGTCTTAAAATGTCAACGCCAGCAGGTGAGGGAGACCTCAGTGAAGACGGAGCAGTTCTGGATCTGGACTGCACCAGTGGTTACGCAAATCCACACGTGATAAACCGTCACAGAACCACACACGCACATTTTACCGAAGCTGACTTTCTGGTTTTGATTTTGTACTATAAGACATTGGGGGAAACAGGGTGATGGAAGTACACAGGACTCCTCTGTACTATTTCTGCAACTTCCTGTAAATCTATGATTATTTCAACATGAAAAGTCTTTCTTTTAATGTTTTAAATTTTTTTAAAAAGCATTGTTATCCTGTGGGGTTATGTGGAATAAGAAAAAAAAAAAAAGCATTCTGTCTCACACCTGTAATCCTAGCACTCTGGGAGGCCGAGGCAGGAGGATCACTGAGCTCAAGCTCAGCCTGAGCAAGAGCAAGACCCATCTCTGCTAAAAATAGAAAAATCAGCCAGGCGTGGGGGTGCGCACCTGTAGTCCCAGCTACTCGGGAGGCTGAGGCAGGAAGACTGCTTGAGCCCAGGAGTTTGAGGTTGCAGTGAGCTACAATGACACCGCTGCACCATATCCAGGGCGACATAGCGAGACTCTATCTCAAAAAAAAAAAAAGTATGTTGTTCAAAACCTCTAAAAACCTATTCAATGTGTAAAAGATAACCTTTAATTACCTGGAAATACCAAGTAAGTTCTCCCTGCCAGATAAATGCTGGGTGTGATCATTCCCTTACTGTAAGTATTTCTTCTACTCTTATTTTAAAACTAAGTATCTTCAATTAAAGACCAAAGACAAGGACAAAAATTCCTGAACTTAAATCTTTCTAACTGCAAGACTAACATTCTCTCTTCTGGGTGGCAACATCTCACAACACAATCCACAACAGCAGAGACAGATCTAGACGACACCACCAGAGGAACTTACAAATGTAATCCTTCACAGCTTTCTCAAAAAGGTCGTACACGTGCTCCCTGTCCAGGCCGTCCTGGGCCATGCTGATCTCGTCGTGCAGCCACTCCAGCCAGAGCTCTGCAAGACAACAGCACTTCCCCGTTACCACCTCCCTCACACCAAAGGGCAGGCTGAAAGCAGGGACTTCACTGAGAGACACCAACATCCAAACATTTTAACCACTTCACACAACCTGGCACAGTTCCCAGAAATTCAATTCTTAATACTTGAACCAGGCACACAGGTTTTATGCTTCCAAATAAGATCAAGCCACTAAAATCATAATATCCTACACCTGTTGGGCATTTTACATTTTGCAAAATACATACACACATGTATTTTCTCATTCAGTCTTTATCACAGCCTATAAGGTAGGTGAGAGTATCATTAATAATAATGACATCTATCTAAGGATTTACAACATGCTACACATGTGTTAAATGTTGTAAGCAGAACAGCTCATCCTCTTCTGTCATGCACTGCAAGACAGAAAAAACTGTTATCTTCATTTTACCGCTAGGAAAACTGAGTCTCAGAAGGTTTATGTAATTTGCTTAGGATCACACAGCTAGTAAGAGGTCTAGCCAGGAATGAAACTGAGCAATCTGATTTCAGCACCTACGACCAGCAGTTATGGTTTGTAGGAGGGAGACGGGGGCAGAGCTGGATCTAGGACAAGGGTGTCCAATTCCTGCCCAAAAGATCTCTTATGAGCGAGCATTCATGAAGATTTAACTAGAAAGATGCTCAGTGCTATTATGTTTCTAATAAGCAAAATAAGTAGAAATGACCTAAATGCAATAAAGAAGTTTCCACTAAACAATAGTTTTGTCGAATAATTAACATATGAACCATTTACATGTATAAAAGCTTAATGATAATATATTTACAACTTTCTGGTTCTGAGAGAATGGGTTAAATATGTAAACACTGGAATGGGAAATAGAGAACGGGAGTAAAGTTTAACTACATAGAAAATTTTTGTCATAAGCTTAGGATAAAGAAATCAAGATTAAAAATGTGAATCAGTGTTGTATAATCACAACTACATTTTGCAAAAAGCTACAAAATAATAAACTAAAAATAGCTGACTTTGAATGATGGGCTTTGTTCTTTCCACCACGTTACATACTCCAAATTTTCTATAAGGAGCACATCCCACTTTCAGCATTGAAAAAAATGTACATACACTTAGCGGCTAGGAATAAAACTTTTAAAATTAATTAATTTTAAAATTTTTTAAAAAAGGAAAAACACACACTCCTCAATTCTGTGTTTCGAAAAGCAGCCTGACTGCTGGACCTTACCTTCGGTCAAGGGAAAGATCTCGCTCATCTTCTGGCGGGCCATCCTCACCTTGGTAAGCTCCCCCTCCAGCCGCAGCAGCCGGATCAGGTCCACGTGGCAGTTGTAGTCATAGATGTTGATAGACAGCTAAAAGGGAAAGAAACAAGTTGAAATTTAAAATGTCATCATCTAAATAACGTCATTTGTCACTACTCGTGACAGCACACACATCAGCCGCAAAGAAAATAAATGTGCTATCTGGGAGAACCACTGAAATGGCAAATGTAACATTTAGCCTCAAGAAGAGGAAGACAAAACAATGAAAGAGGCTTTTATAATACACATAAAGCTATGTCAAATCTGTTACAATTCCTCTTAGAAGACACTATTTCTTGCTGAAATAAAGGAGACATTCTAGTGAAACAAAAAATGTGTGACCACAGCAAGTTATTAACTTTCCTAGGCTTCCATTTCCTCATCTGTAAAATGGGGATACTACTAGTCTCTAGCTCACAGGGTCTTGTGAGGACTTAAAAAGGTAACTTCAAAACATCTTTTAGCATGTAAGGTGTGTTGTAAAAGCTCCTTTATTTTATTAAATAAAAAAATGAAAATCCTTATTGGAGAAACAAGAATGGCAGCAATTTGGCATCTGTTGAACCTAAGTGACAGGTACATAAAGGTTTATTTTTACATTTGAAAGTTTTCAAACTAAAATTTAAAACAAATTAAAATATTTTTTTTTAAAAAGCTATCATACATCTGAGACAAAGGAAAACTAAAAAGAATGTTCACTAGCAGACCTACCCGTGACAAAAAGCTAAAGGAAGTTCTGCAGACAGAAAGGAAAAGATAAAGAAGGAAGCTGGAGCATCAGAAAGCAAGAATAGCAGGGAGAGCAGCAACACGGGTAAGTACAGCAGACAATCCTTCTCTCCCCGTGAGTTTTCTAAATCACATGAGATGATTAAACAAACAACTGATACTTAAAAGTGGGGATGAAAATGGGACTGAAATGGAAGATTTCACACTTCACTCAAACGGTAAAACACTGATACCACTTCAGTCATATCTGTATATTTTAATACCCAAAGCAAGCACTAAGAAAAATATTCAAAGCAATACACTAAAAATCACTATAAATAAATCAAGACAGAATTCTAAGAAATGTTCAAATAACACACAAGAAGGCAAGAAAAGAGAAACAGGAGAAACAGGAAACAAACGGCAAATAATAAAATGGCAGGTTTTAGAGCTAACCTATCAGTAATTACCTTAAATGTAAAGGGTCTATACGCACTAATTAAAAGTCAGAAAATGGTATAGAGTGGATAAGAACACAACCCAACTATATGCTGATTATAGGAAGCTAGCTTCAAATTCGAAGACATACATAGGTTGGCTGAAAGTAAAAGGACAGAAAAAGATACACCATGCAGACATTAATTTAAAAGAAGACAAAGTGGAGATACTAATATGTAAAGTAGACTTCAGAGCAGAGAAAATTGCCAGAGGCAAAAAGGATTATATTATGTCATGACACATAATGATAAATGGATCCATCTACCTAGAAGACATAACAATTCTAAATGTGTATGAATGAAACAGCACCTCAAACACATGCAACAAAAACTAACAGAGCTGAAAAAAGAAAGACACCTCCACAATTACATGTGGAGACTTAAACACCCTCCTTTTCAGTAACTGATAGAACTACTAGACAGAAAATCAGCAAGGACACAGAAGAACACCAACAAGCAACACGATCTAATTTATATACATAAAACACTCCAACCAACAATATAGAATACATATTCTTCTCAAGTGCCCATGAAACATTTACTGAAACCGTATCCTGGGCCATACAACAAACCTCAACAAATTTAAAAGAAATAAAATCATACAAAGTATGTTTTCTGACCACAATGGAATCAAATTAGAAAACTCTGATAATAGGAAAATCTCTAAACACTTGGAAATTAGGCAATACACTTCAAAATAATCTATGGGTCAAAGAAGTATCCAGGAAAATTTTTAAAAACATGAAACTGAATGAAAATGAAAATACAGTAAATTAAAATAAGTAGGATGCAGCTAAAACAGTGCAGAAGGAAGCTTAAAGAACCAAATTAAATGCATAAAAAGAATTATACACCATAACCAAGTGGGATTTATTCCGGGCATGCAAGGTTAATTCAATATTTGAAAATTAGTAACTGTAATCTACCATAACAAAAGGCTGAAGAAGAAAAATCATGGTATCGATGCAGAAAATGCGTTTGACAAAATCCAACAACTATTCATGGTAAAAACGCTCTGCAAGTTAGGAATACAAGGGAAATACCGCCGGGCATGGTGGCTCATGCCTATAATCCTAGCACTCTGGGAGGCCGAGGCGGGAGGATTGCTTAAGCTCAGGAGTTCAAGACCAGCCTGAGCAAGAGCGAGACCCCGTCTCTACTAAAAATAGAAAGAAATTAATCGGACAACTAAAAATATATAGAAAAAATTAGCCGGGCATGGTGCGCATGCCTGTAGTCCCAGCTACCCAGGAGGCTGAGGCAGTAGGATCACTTGAGCCCAGGAGTTTGAGGTTGCTGTGAGCTAGGCTGACACCACGGCACTCTAGCCCAGGCAACAGAGTGAGACTCTGTCTCAAAAAAAAAAAAAAAAGAAAAAAGAAAGGAAATACCCCAACCTGATGAAGAGCATCCATAAACAACCTACAGCTAACATCATTCTTAATGGCAAAGACTGAATGCTTTTCTCCCAAAATCAGGAATAAAGCAAGGAGGCCCACTCTCACCACTCTTTTCAACGAAGTCCTGGAAGTTCTAGCCTGTTCAGCAAGACAAGTGAAGGAAATAAAAGGTATAGATTGAAAAGAGAGAAAACTGGCCTGATTTGTCAATCACATGACTAAGAAGACAATCCCAAGAAATCAATTAAAAAAAACTCCAAGAATACTGAATTGAGCAAGGTCAAAGAATACAATACAAACCTACAAAAAACAATGAACACATGGAAAACAACTTTAAAAACACAATACCACTTACAATCACTCCAAAAAAAAAACGAAATACTTAGGTATAAACTTAAAACATGTAGAGAATCTGTATGCTGAAAATTACGAAATGCTGAGAAAAGAAATCAAAGGCCTAAAAAATGGAGAGACATTCTGTGTTCACGGATTAAAAGACTCAACATAGTAAAGAAGTAAATTCTCCCCAAGTTGACTTATAAGTTTAATGAAACTCCTACCGAAATCCCAACAAGGTTTTTTATAGACATAGACAAGCTTGCTCTAAAAGATATATGGGATGGCACAGATCCTAGAATAGCCAAAAATGATCTTGAAAAAGAATAAGATGGGGAGGAATCACTCTACCTGATGCTAAGGCCTACTATGTAGCTACAATGATCAAGACGGTGTGAACTTGGCAGAAAGACACATATATCAAGGAAAGAGACTAGAACCCAGTCACTGACCCACACAAATATGCACAAATAATTTTTGACAAAGACGCAAAAATGGCTGTCCACGGTGGCTCACACCTGTAATCCTAGCACTCTGGAAGGCTGAGGCGGGGCGATTGCTTGAGCTCAGGAGTTCAAGACCAGCCTGAGCAAGAGCGAGACCCCCATCTCTACTGAAAATAGAAAAAATGAGCTGGGTGTGGTTGGTGCATGCCTGTGGTCCCAGCTACTCAGCAGGCTGAGGGAAGGAGTTTTGAGGTTGAGCCCAGGAGGCTGCAGTGAGCTATGACGACGCCACTGCATTCTGCCCAGGGTGACAGAGCAAGACTCTGTCTCAAAAAAATAAAATAAAATAAAATGAAGTAAGATGCAAAAGCAATGCAATGGAGGAAAAGGGGGCCTCTTCCTCCACAAATGATGCTGCAGCAATTGGATATCCATAGTCAAAAACAAAAATAAACCTCAACCTAAATCTCACACCTTATATAAAAATCAAGTCAAAGTGGATCACAGATTGAAACATAAAATGTGAATCTAAAAGTGTAAAATGTTGAAAAAAACACACAGGGGAAAATTTTCAGAGTAACAGGAAGGATCCTTATGCTGACAGAACTGATCCATATCTTGACTGTATCACTATCAATATCCAAGTTGTGATATCATACTGTAACTTTGCAAAATGTTACCATTGAAGGAAACTGGGTAAAAGGTATGTAAAAAGGATGTCTCTGCATTATTTCTTTCAAGTGCATGGAAATCTACAATTATCTTAAAATAAAAAGGTTAATTTTTTTTAAGTTTTCATACAAGTTGGGATATAGGCTTACCTTGTCTGTACACCAAGACTTCCTTAGTACCTACCCTTCCAGCATGTCGCAACATTTTAGCAATAAATATTTCCCTCTCCAGAAATAAAAGATTACCTATACTTCATTCAAATTATACCCCGCCATCTGACAACGTACTCTACTAATCCAGGCACTAGTTATTTCATTAAAATACAGAAAGATAGCTAATGAATTTGATTACTTGAACTTCAGGATAAAAATTTAACAATTAACTAGCTGTGAACCTTTAAATGGAGGATGGGAGGAGCAACCATTTGCAGAACACAAATATAAAGGATTATAGGGTGTTCAAGTAATTAGATTTTAAACAAGAACCCATTATCTTTCTCTATTAATCATGATAATAAAAGTCCGCCATGGCTTCCCAATGTCCCGGGAAAGGCTGATAGAAAGGAAACAGCTGGTGCAATCAGGGGAAAGGCAGAGAAGGGAGAAAAGAGCACGCCTTTACTTAGCACCTACTGTGTGCCAAACCGTGCCAAGAACTTTATGCACAATGCGTCACTTAAGTCCCCCAAGAGCCCTGAGAAGCAGGCACTATTACAGTCTTCATTTTACCAATGGGACACTCTAGGCTCCGAGAGCTGAAATAACTTGTACGAGGTCCTTCCATTACTGAGCAGGAGGCTTGGATTCTCACGTGTGTACAAAGCCACAGCCTTTGTACCGCACCATGCTGCACTGACAAATCTGCCTGAAACACCATGAGGTGCCACTGTCAGCGCACGAATTACAGAAAATCTTTGCTTTTCTTATGTAGACAGATACCACAGCGAATTGCCAGCTTTCAGAAAATACACTCGGGGATGAGGACAGCACTCACAAATATGGCAAGGCCGAGTTCCCCACAGGCCTATTTGGAAGTTACTCATCATTTTGCTCCACCGTAAGAGCAAGTTATAGCAAGAACAAGAGGCTGTGGGATTAGGATGAGGTGGGAGGAAGGTTTGGAAAAACTGGAAAAGTGCATTTCTAGATCCCAGGACAAAGAGGATAAGACCAAAGGCCCTTCAATTCACCATCACGTGCCAGGTCCCATCCGGTGTGGTCACCTTCTGATCTCCATCCTGCCCTCTGTGAACTGTGGTGGGACAGGCAACGGCAGAGCACTAGGAGCCAGGAGACCTCTGCTCCGACCCATCCTCCTCCCTAGTAAGTATACCCTCAAGGACTTTACCTCTCTGGTACCAAGCCTTCCCTTCCCCCACCTCGCAGATAATAAGCTCATCAAAAGGCCAAGGGCGAGCAGTCCGAAGAAATGATATCAACAAGGGCAGGGACGTAGTCAGCCTGGTACCCCGTGTCACACTGTATTTGGTCAATTAGCTTCAGCACACTTATTTACAAAAAGTAGAAACGGTAACCACTTGCCTCTCCCAACTGGTTCCTTTGACAGTCAGATGTTATGACAAGTAGGACACACTATACCAACGGATGATATCACTATTATGCAACTTAACAAAAATATCAGGGCCAGAGGGAGCAGTATAAGGAAACTGACATCCAGCAAGGTTAAGTGAGTAACGCAAGTAAGCAATTTCACATCACTGAGTGGTTTCATATCCAGTGTGACACTGGGTCCACGGGCAACCTTTAAGAGTTCAAATCCTACCAAGAATGACTTTCAGTAAATCATTTCATCATTTGTTCTGAGCCTCTGTTTCTTCATCTCTAAAGTGAGAATGTGCTTAATCTTTCCTGTTTGCCCCTCCAAATCCACTCCACTCCCTCTGCCCTGTCCTGTGTCCCCCAGCGTAGACCACATTTGTGAGTTTCCTGGCTCTTGGGCTACCAGGTGGGTTACTCCAGCAGGAGGCACCAGCAAAAGTTGGGAGGAAGCTTCCAAGAGACGAAGGTCAGTGTATTTTTCCCCTCCCAACCTCCGACAGGACACTGGGGATGGAAGCCCTTGAACACACACCCTGCCACAGCTCTGGTGCTCTCTCCACACAACTACTCAGGTAACCAGTGACCCTTCACCCCTTTAGGCCTAAAGATGGACACAAGCTTCTGCTGTTACTAACTGTAGGATACTAAACCTTCACTCCTGATTTCCCCGCCCACACCTTTATAAACATGGTTGTCCTTTCACAGACCTTTTCTCAAATTGTCCTAATTTGAATGGGCCACCTATTTCCTGCTGGGACTCTGAAATAAAGGGGACATACCACCACCTCATCAAGTTACAGATTACCCAGCTCACGTTACTTCTCAGTGCCAGGCACTAGGTATAATTACCGTTATGACAATCACATGATGCAGAAATTGTTCCTCCCACTCTACAAATGAGGAAGCCGAGGCTCAGAGAAGTAAAGAAGTTCGCCCAAGCACACACAGGGACGGAACAGCTAGAACCGGGGCTTTAACCTCCGGATGCCAAAACCTCTACCTTTCCATTTCTATTATCACCGTCACGGTAAATATTTTTCCCACTACACCAAATTTCATCATTGTCGTCATTCCTACAAGAAACTAACACTCTGTTACGAATAAGATTTTATTTCTACTGTGGACATAGTGTAACTGTGTGGTTAAGGGTGGGATTGTGGAGTCGGTTCAAAGGACAAGGCCTGACTCGCCATTTGCAGAACTGTTACCTTGAACAAGAGACTTTTCTCCACGAGCCTCAGTTTCCTCCCATAAATCCAGGATAACACTACTTCCTTCACAGAGTCGTGGCAAGGACTCAATAGGACGTTTGCAAAGCACCTCGCATGCTCAAAGCGCTCAAACGAAAGGAGCTACAGTGATTAACAGCGGGTTTGCGGCCCCGGCGGCTTTACAGCCAGTGAGGACCAGGGAGGCGGAAGGAGCCCGCTGCCCCCCGCCCCTGACCCACCTGCTCCTCCAGCCTCTCGATCTCTAGCTGGTTCTTCTCCTCCTCTTCGTCGTACTCCCACTCGTACTCCCCGGGGGAGCTCTCCGCGGAGGAAGCCATGGCGTACTCCTCATCATCCCCATCGCTCTCGCTCACGCCTTCCTCCTGCGGATTCCACTCTGGCCCTATGGTCTTGTACGTCTCAGCAGTAACAGCTCGCGATAGCACCTTCCTCCTCGTCTTAGCCGCCTTAACTTCATCCTCCTCTCCCTCAGCCTTGGGCCCAGCCTTGGACTCAGCCTCCGGTTCTGAAACCGAGGTTGCGGCCGCCGTCGCCATCTTGCGCTTCCAGGGATTCTCGGGTCTTCCCGCGGCCGCCGAAGACCCGGCTGAAGTAGAAGCTGCCCGCGGCGCGCGCCTGATCAAAACCCCGCTTTCTTGCCACCGAAAGGGAAATTGCGAGCCTCGGATGACGGGAAAATCTTGAAATACACACAATTCATATTACCTTTATATCCTTGTAGAAGCTCCCATCAGAGAAAATACTCATTTACATGGCATGTGTTCCGTCACAACTTCGGACAGAAGTTGGGTCTTTGGACAGGAAATGGAGGCCATAGAGGAAGTCATGGAGTGAGCGTGATGTCTGTAGTCAAGGGTTTGGCGCCATCTTGAGAAGGTAAAGTGAGTCAGAACAAATGTCTTACTTAACGCCTAGTGTGACCTGGCGCGTAGTTCTGTCTCCCCAGCAACTGCGCCCCAAACGCAGCGAAAAACTCCACGTTCTCGGGGAAGGATAGACTCCACCATTCATGTGAAAAATCCATTTCCCTGATTCCCATTCCCCATTAGCCTGGTAGCTAGTACGCCTTAAATACACGTGCGAATTTTCTGGTTTTATAAGATATCTTGCAAACCAATAGTAAAAAATTACATTAATAAGCATTTCTTTAGAAACTCTTAATTGCTAGGCATTGTAATATAAATTGTGAGTTTGCTTTATAGATAAATAGATATATACATTATTTTTCAATCAAGGCATGGTGTTTCCTTCTTAAGCTTCACATTTTTGAGGTAGGAAAGTCTTGGTGTGTTTCTCTACTTATTGCCTTTCTCCCTCATTAGCAAGCTTAAGGGGGCAGGAATTATGTCTGTTTTGCTGTCCGCTGGATCCCCGGAGTCTACTATAGCACCTTGATACACAGTAGGTACTCAGCACATACTTGCTGCATGGATGAAATAACAGTCCTTGAATTAGTACAAAAGGGAAGGGAGATCCAGGCTTGGCGTGACGATTTCATTTGCCTAGGGTCACACAACCAGGAAGGAGCAGAACCAGGATTGTAACCCAGCATTATCCAAGTTCAAATCCCAACTGAACCTAACGCTCTGAGCAACCTTGGACAAGTTAACTAAACCGCTCTGAACCTCAACTTCCTTAAGCTGCAAAACAGGGTTAGGACTGGTGGTTCTCAGCGCCACATTCCAGCCGTGGGCTTTGTGAACGCCAGCCTGGCCCCGCACTCCAGGAGCCTGAGGTCCTCTCCCACCCACGATCCAGCACTCCAGATGAGCCCTCCGGCGACTTCACACCCTCCCGCTCTCCGCCCCGCCCGCCCCCAAGAGGCGGGGCCAAGGCGCGGGCACGTGCACGGAGCAGGAGAGCGCAAGCGCGAAGTCGCAGTGACGTCAGAGGAGCGCCCCACCTCTGCGCTCTGGGACTCCGCCGCCGCAAGCCGGCAAGATGGCTGCGGCTGGAGCCGGCCGTCTGAGGCGGGCGGCTTCGGCCCTATTGCTCCGGAGTCCGCGCCTGCCGGCCCGGGAGCTGTCAGCTCCGGCCCGGCTCTACCACAAGAAGGTAGGGTTGGACGAGGGGATGCGTAGGCCGCCTAGAAGACTCAGGCGCCCTGGCGGAGGCCCAAACTGGGAGAGACGGCCGCGGGGTTCGGCGCGGCCCTGGACGGAGGGGCCGCCCCCTCCCACGTCTTCTGTCTCGACTCACTTTCCCTTGCTGCTCAGTGAAGTAACCGCAGCTTATATATAAATAACAGCTACCGCCGATCGGGCGGCGACTTCCAGTGGGCCCCGCCGCTCGCCGCGACTTTGTGCGTCTCGTCTTTAAGCTTGCCAACAGCCCAGGAGGGAAGGGCCTGCGATGACTTGCCATTCCGAGTCCAGGGACACACCCACGCTGCGGCCCGGGCTCCGGCTTCGGCCACGGCACTGCCCTGGCTAAGCGACCCTGAGCGTGGCACTGCCCCTCGCAGAACCTGTTTCCCCAGGTGTGACACGCGTGTGGCGGAGGGGCCCTCAGGCGTCTTCTGCAGCATCTAATGTGTGGCGTCCTCGACGTGGCCCCTGGCACAGAGACCCTCCGTGTGCACACCATTTGTGGTGCTGTTATTGTTTTGGGAGCGCATAGCCTCCGAGGGGAGCAGGCACATAACAAACAAGCGCAATGGTTTTGTTTTGGTTTTTTGGCGGGGGAGAGGGGAGAGAGATGCGTAGTTTGCAGCCCCTTGCCTTCCAGAGGGTAAAATCCCCTAGTCTTGAGACTCTCACTCGGGAAACTACTAAAGAATGCCGTAAATCAACGTGGCGCAGCAAGTCCGGATTAGATGTGATCTGGTGGGTCTCGGACTTGGAGTCAATCCATACTCGGATGTCCGTGTGGGGAGGACTGGAAAATCGGAGTACTTACTGGTAAACAGACCACAAGGTCATTAAAGACGTCTGTGTACCAGTTTCGGTTGATGTTTATTCTGTTCTGGCTTCTGCACTTTTGCCAAGGACTTCACTCCTCCCCCACCCGGGCGTGCGTTTTGTTGACGGCGTGCGCTGAAGGAACTTGGGCTGGCAGCCTTCCCGTCACCAGGGTGCGCTGCTGCACCAGGGCGATGTCAAGGACCTGTGACACCGTCATGGCACTGCTCACCTTGAAGCTTCCCAGAAAGCCTTCCCACTCCTGGGCCATAGTCTTTTTAGATTTTTTTTTCCGCTGTTATCACAAATCTGTGAAGGTAGTTGGAGAAGGAGATACAAAGTGTTTGGGCCACAAATGGTTCTCATTGACATGAGTAGAGGCCTTTATACCCAGATGAAATCTGGTACTTAGTGACTGCCTGCTAGGTTCAACTTGCTGACTTCGACAAGCTAACCATTAAGTCAGGAAGACCGGTACCAACAAAGTGATCATTATTTCTCGTAACCTTTCCGTTTCAGGTGGTTGATCATTATGAAAATCCTAGAAATGTGGGGTCCCTTGACAAGACATCTAAAAACGTTGGAACTGGATTGGTGGGGGCTCCAGCATGTGGTGATGTAATGAAATTACAGGTACCAGCTGGTTTTCAACTTTAATGGTAATAACAATCCCTTTGCTTACACGGTGCTTTATAGTTTACAAAGCATTTGCACATACAGCATTTCATTTGGTCTCTATCTTTATTCCTGTGAGATGGGATGAGTTGATACTATAAATGATTAGCAAGTCCTCAATCTTGGTTCTCTTACTGGTATACTAGGCTGACCTTTTCTGAAATAGGAAACTAATCTCATTTTTCTACTCACTGTATCGGCTTAAATCCCAACTTCAGCCAAGTAAAAACAGAAACAAGCAGGAGGGAACTATGAAGTGCAATTTGGTGCCCAAGAATGAAGTACTAGCGAGAGACCTTTATTGCAGACTTTCCCAGTGTTTAAAAAGGCAGACTTCCTCGGATAAGACTTCATAGTTAACATGCAGGCTAAGGTTACAAAACAAAACTGGGGTGGAGGGGCATATTTTCCATCTCATCTTTACCATCTAGGCCTGTAGAGTTGTTCCACGTTTCACTTTTCATCACCAAGCTCTTTGAAACGTAGCAAAGTCCGTAACTAATGCCATAACTTACAGTGTGGAAAGCAAGTGCAGAGCCCTTGGGGAAGGTCCCAGTAAACTTCCATGAGCGCCAGGTTCCAGAGGGTGGCCCCAGGAATCACTGCTTAACTCTTGTTTCTTTTCTAGATTCAAGTGGACGAAAAGGGGAAGATTGTGGACGCCAGGTTTAAAACATTCGGCTGCGGCTCCGCAATTGCCTCCAGCTCGTTAGCCACTGAA